TATTGCATCTGATGAGGTCCATGTGTATAGTCATCTCTTATGTTGTTTAAAAAAGTATTTGGAATGAAGAAGTCATTGAGCTTGCAAAATTCTATCATGTAATCTCTAGTATAAGTTCTATCGCCAAGGCCCTATTGTCCAACAACTGATGCTTACTGTTTGTTTCCAACATTTTCATTCCAATCACCAGCAATTATCAACACATCTGGAATGCATGTTTAACCCATTTCAGACTGAAAAAGTTGGTAGAATTCTTCAATTTCATCATCATTGGCTTTTGTGATGTTTATATAAATATCTATATACCTATATCTATCTATCTATCTATCTATCTATCTATCTATCTATCTATCTATATATGTTGATGGTTTTGGTAAGTGCTTTTGAGTCTACTAATGGAAATTGGTGGTTCTAACCCACTAGCTGCTCTTCATAATCCCCCTGTACAGTGTCACTATAATTTTGAATTGACTTGACATCACTTAACAACAACAAAAATATTTATAATGTTAACGCATTTATGCATGTAAATATCTGTAAAGGTGTGTATACATGTGAAATTAAAGCAAATAATATATGAAATTAAGTGTGAAAAAGTAAAATAAAAGAATAAGAGAAATTGCAAATATTTAGACATACCTGGTAAAAGAATGTCAAAACCATAACAATTACTACTTGTGATCAACAATAATGAAAACATAGATTTTGCTGGGAAGGGATTTTTGAATGGAGCACAATATATTATCTTTCATAGCTAATGCTCTCCCAAAGAAGAGAGAAAATAGGATTCTTTGGTTGTATGAATCTTCAGTATTAAGGATTAGACAAGCAAATAGTAAATGTATGTTGCTGTCTTTTATTGAAACTCTAATAACTATTGTTTGTAATTTTGTTATACAAACACACATATTAATTTAAAGGACTCTTCTTTTAGAACTTTTTCTTCTTAAAACAATGTAGTAACAAATTAGAGAACAAATTGCCTTTGAGATCAAAGCAATAGATTTTCAATTATGGTTAGGTCATATAAGATCTTGAACCAGAAAATAAACATCACTTGGTTCTACAAGCACTTTGTTCATATTTTCTGATTCTAGTTATTAATTTTGCTAATAAGTGTTTTGGATGAAGAACAATTGTAATTCAGAGACTAAACAGTAAATGTGCCTGCCAACAAATCATGTACTGAGAAAACATTAAGGAAACTAAATTCGTATGGTATTTTTACCAACCAATATATGTAGAAAGATAAAGTGTTTCTTGTTACTGATATTACTGAATGTAACCTTTAACTTTCTTGAGATAATTTCTGGGAATGATAAAAATTTTGGATGAAAATAATGTTGTTAAGTGCTGTTGAGTCAGT